GACTTTAACATATGGAAAATTGTATACTTCATTTCGTCGCTATCGGTAAATTTTTAGCGATAGAATTTTTTTACCAGAAATTTCTATCACTAATTTTAGTTATAACATTTTTAGTGATGGAATTAGCAACAAAAAAAATTTGGTCCTTAATTTTCATTGTTAATTTTGTCGTTGAATATTTGCAATGGAAATTTTTGTTACTAATTTCGTCACTAATTTAAAAGTTTACTATTTTAGATTATAATCTAACAACAATTTATATAATGACATAATTAACAATATAATGATTTAAATATATTTTTAATTGAAAAATAAATTGATACATTTATGAAGTTGGTGCTAATAAGGGTATTATCATCATTATCATCATTTATTTCATCATTAGACACATACTGATATAGAAAGATGATTTCTATGCAAATTTGTTTTATGTTTTATTGAAATCAATTCCTCTTAATCATTAATAATAATTAAAAAAATATGATAAGAATATTAATAAATTTTTTGTATAAATTAATTAACATAAAAAATAAATAATTGTATTATATACATTATATTAAGATGTAATATATAATAGTAATTCAAAACCAACATATGAAGTTATATAAACATCTCAATTTATTATTATAGATCAAACTAATGTTGAAGTGAATTTTGAATTTGAATGATGAATCAATAAAATTTGATCATAATATAATTAATAACTAACGATATAGATTGATTTTAGTTTTCAACTGAAAGACAAATGGTACATACAAATATTTTCTCAAAAAAAATTATGTAGGATACCCATATAAGTAGGAGAAGGGTGTTTATTGTATAATCTATTCAAAATCATTTAATTTTTTAAATAGAATAATTTTATTATCATAGTTATTTTTTTAATAATTAGATTTTTTTTTACTAATTATAAATGACTTTCATCAAATCTAGATACAAATAGATAATATAATATAATGTAATATAATACATATATAATTAAATTGTATGTCTAATCAATGTTAATTAAAAATAAAAATTAAATTTAAAAATATATTTATGAAAAGATTATTACGATGTAAATTCAAAATTAGTTTCATTTGAAATTGATATTATAGTAAAAATGATTTTTCAAAGAAATAAAACATTATAAAATAAAAAGTAGGGAAATTTTCTTAAAAAGACACTTAAATAACTTAAATTTTTATTTGGGTTATTAAATTTGTTGAATTCCAAAATAGCTCTCATGACCTAAAAAAGAATTTTAAAATTTCATGAAATAACTCTAATGTCTCTTTTATTACAAACCAAAAGAAAAGAATTCTAAAGTGACATGTTTTATTTTGTAGTTAATATTCAATTTTAAATTAACAACTTGCTATCTCCATGATGCATTTGTGTAAGTCTTTGAATAAAACTTGATTGTAATATAACCTTGAAAAGTAATAAATTTAATTATGTTGTTAATAAGATTTAATTCTAAACTAACAGGTTTATGTCTCCAGAATATAGTTGCAATAAGTCTTTAAATAAAATTTGATCATAATACAACCTTAACAATTAACATGTTTCATTTTATAGTTAACATTTTTCAACTCTAAATTCACAACTTTTTTCTCCATAACAAACTTGTAATAAATCTTTAAATAAAACTTGATTAAAATACATCCTTAAGAATTGAGATGTTCTATTTAATATATAGTTAAACACGTTTCAATTTTAAATTAATAATTTTTTTGTCCCCATAACATTCTTGTAATAAATCTTTGAATAAAATTTTATTACCTTACAATCTTAAAAATTAACATATTTCATTTTGAAGTTAACAAGTTTCAATTCTAAGTTAACAATTTTCCATCGAAACAAAACTATAAGGGTTGGGGGGATGATTTAATATTAAAATTAGCTCATAGTTGCTTTCTTAATCACTTTTTCCCACTTTGTAATAGTAGATATTAAGTTTCTCTCGCTTAGAGCTCTTACACAATGCACGAATAATAAAAATTCTCATCTCCCTAGGTTTCTAATGAAAAAAGTGTATTATAGTCATTTCATAAAATTTTAAAATCCTCCTTTGAGTCAAGTGACATGATTAAGGTTTTGACAAATCTAATAATCCAAATAAGAATTTAGATTATTTACGTGTGATTTTTCCCAAAAAGTAATACAAATATTTTAAAATTATTTTGTCATATTAATAGTTAAAATTAGAATTATCATATAACTTATTTTTAGTTTTTAATAATAGGTAGTATGTATAATTGTTTGGATAAAATATATTTTATATATATTGAATTTTGTATTAAAAAAATTATAAGTTCATTGTAGCTAAACTGGCAAAGACATGCATGCATACATAAGGTTCACTATTCGAGTCATAGAGGAGTCAAATTTGAGAAGAAATTATATGATAATGACACATGGCAATAGAAGTGAGGTGAGAAGTGACACGTGGAGAGCGGCTGGTGGGGCGGTTAGTTGAGGCACCACATGGCATTTATTATTTTTTTAAAAAAAATCAAATTATTCATGAAAATCCGTCATTAATTAAAATTTCATATATCCTTAATTCATTGCAAATCCTGTATGAAAAGTGGATTATTGGGACGTGTGGTTCATGGGAGGCTTAAGGCAACTATGACTCCTGCAACTATGCGCAGCTCAAATATTTTTGCCTACCTATTTAACCCAAAAGTAAGGTACTTAAAACCGGACTGGTGATTAAACAGGTTAAGACAGTGAGTTAAGAGTTAGTGGGTTAGATCGGAATTAACTCGGAGTCAGACCGCTAATAATTTAAAAATATAATTTAAATAAAATTTATAAAAGACCACATTTAATTCTAAAAAATATTTTAATAAAAGTAATATTTCAGAATATATTATGCCAATTTCCGCTTCCTAGTTCCCTCCTCTTCTTCAAATTTTGTATATATTTTATTATTTACAAATAATTCATATTGAGTGATCGGTGACGGGCTTAGCAGATATGTGAAGTGAAGATGTGGAAGGTAAATATTTTATTAAAGGCTTGGATAGGGATGACTCACGGGCAAGCATAAAAAAAAAAAAAAAAGAAATTGAGCTGCCAGCACCACATTATGTCAGAGGCTCAGACCTATCCTGGGTGTAAAAAGCAGCTCTTCCTATTCATTGTTTGCAATTTAGGCACTCCCGCTCGTTGATGCTGCTTCTATATATATATATTTTTTTTTTTTTTTTCAGTCTCTCTCAGTCTTTCGCAGAGGACAACAAACATCCTTGAAATTGTCCTTTTTCTTTCTCTCACATACCTGTCACCCTAGAAATTTTTTGTTCACTTATTTTTATCAAGATTTCTCAGGACTTCAAACTGCAAGTTTTTTTTTTTTTTTTCACATCTCTTATGTTATTTCCCTCTCTTTGTCCTTTTCTTTCTTCTTCTTTTTCTGGACAATCTTTCTTCATCATTTGTAGCGTTCTGGCGTGTTTTAGGCGAATAAAAACATAGGCCGTAACTCTCTCACAGCCAATGGGTTACGTTAATCCAGGTTCATACTGGTTTATACCGAGTCACGCCAAGTCAGATTTCAACTGAGTCTAAACATCAACTATTCAACTGGACAGGATAAATGACTAGATCGATAGTTTCCGAGCCAACCCAGCCAATCTGGTCCGGATTTTAATACATGAGTCATCCCTATGGGCAAGGAAGAATGTGAATGAGAGAGCTTGAGAAACTGTTCTTATAATGCCTATACAGCCGCAGATGTGAGAAGTCGAGAGAGTGTTTATGCGAATGTGTTCTTAGGTCGAGAGTGTGACTACAAAGGAGAGAAGGAGTTTCATGAGCTCATGTTTTATTGCCACTATTTCAAAGCTGAGGTGAACTTTGAAAGCCCAATGTTCGTTTTTTTTAATGATATTGATGATGTTTTTGTGCCAGGTAAGATTACTCAACCTAAGTTATAAATTATTGAAATATTAGGGAATACATTATAATTGAGTCGAAAAAATATAGAGATTGAGTGACATTTTCCCTAAATATTATTACCTCTGACTCTCAATATAAGAACTAATTTAATATTTAATTTGGTCTTAAAATATATAACACCATAATCCACTATATCTCGCGTGTTTATCTATTTTCTTCTGAAGTAATCCTTGTAGTAATTGTAAATGTTAAATATTTCATCAAATGATAGTTCTAACTAATACACATGATTAGTAAGGATATTTTAGAAAAAATACCTATTTATTACAAATAATTAACTTAACTAATTTTATTAATATACTCAAATTAGTTAATTAACTATTATATTAAGGATTCGATGTAGTATAGATATTGTTAAATTAAACTTAGGGTTAATATAATTTTTTATCCTTAGAATTTGGTCTTATTTTGATTTTAGTTCTTCAAATTTTAAACTCATGATTTTAGTCTATGAAATTTATTCTGTTTCAAAACGTCAGTCCTTGACGGTGTAATGATGTTAACATCTATTAAAGCGTCATAAATTGCGTCAAAGTGATGATGTGGATTTATCAAATGAAAACTACTTGGATCTTATATAAATAATAGAGAGGAAAAAAGAGCAAATCCTCAAAATGCAATACAAGGAACGATTTTATATATTATATAGAGGGAAATGAATTCTCAAAACGCAGCGTACTTAATAATTCCTTAGATGAACAATAAAGAAAAACAGGCCTTGAACAGTTGCATTTTGAAGACCTAATTTTTTTATCTATTATTTATACAAGATCTAGTTAGATGCTATGTGGTAAACTATATCATCACTTTTAATATCCTTTATGATAATTTAGCAGATTTTAATACAATTATACTTTTCTACTAATAGTTTAAAAGGGACTAAATTTTAAGAACTAAAATTATGGGCTTAAACTTCGGGAGCCTAAAACTAAAATTAAGCCAAAATTTGACAAAAATTATATTGACCCGTAAACTGATACTTTGAATTACATGTTCGATTGCCTGCCGACCTCCATTCTTCTGCTGGCGCACGTCATCTTTTCCAAAATGCATGTGACACAGTCTCATCCCTCGCCTACGAACTCTTTCTGTGTCTACTGTAACCTACACGTCTCTTCTCTCCATGTTTCCAATTCCTTCGTCACCAATGTCTCCTCTTTAACCTTTATCCACCACCCACATGCTCACTCTCACATTGCCTACTAAATCCGCCACCCTTCTCCACCAGGCTTCTCATGTTGAGATACTCCGAAGCCCCACAAAACTCCAATCTTCGGGGACTTATTGTGGGAAATTATTGCCACGACGTCCTCTTAAGAGATGGCGCCGTCGTCGCAGAGACTATCGGTGGATCCACTTCGTTTATCTCCGCCGTGCTCGACAGTTTCTCTATCTCACACCATCTGGTCGCCAAGGTGGGGCCGGATTTTGCTTACGTAACAAACCATCCTCCCCTTGTGGTACCCTCGTCCGAAACCACTGTCTTTCATGCATATTTCGATTCGAATATCGATGCATCCGGGGACTTGGATCGGGTCTTGAAACGGGTCCGCGCTTGCGATGCGATTAGGGTTTCGGACCTTCCGAAAACAAGGTTCGATTTTGGAATGGCAGTTGGTGTTGGTGGGGAAATATTGCCGGAGACTCTGGAGAGAATGCTTGAGATTTGTGACAAAGTGTTTGTTGATGTTCAGGCTCTGATTCGTACATTCGATGCGGTTGATGGGACTGTGAAGCCTATTGCGTTGAAGGAGAGTGGGTTCTTTCACCTTTTGCCACGTATTGGGTTCCTTAAAGCATCATCGGATGAGGCAATGTTCATTGATTTGGAGGAGGTGAGGAAATTTTGCTGTGTTGTGGTGACGCATGGAAAAGAGGGGTGTCGGGTGTATTGGAAAGATGGGGACATGGAAATTGCGCCGTTTACGGCTAGCCAGGTTGATCCGACAGGTGCAGGGGACAGTTTCTTGGGTGGTTTTGTTGCAGGACTGGTTCAAGGTTTAGTTGTGTCTGATGCTGCAATAGTGGGCAACTTCTTTGGCTCCTTGACTGTGTCCCAAGTGGGGCCTCCAAAGCTTAACACTCTGTTGTCCCAGGTTAGCAATTCAAAATACCTTATATCCAATGAAATACTATTTCCTTCCGTTACTTTGTGTATGTAACTTGTATTATCATGACAGAAAAAACTTATTAATCTCATATAACTAAACCTAATATAAGGATGGAGGATGTTTCTTATTGGTTTTTATCATGCGCGTTTTATGTTGCCCGTCGTGTTAGCTGTTCTGAAAATTTGGATATAAATATTGAAGGAAGACACTTTTTGAGAATGTGAATCATTGACATGGGTTGCAACAACATCTATTGTTTTGGGTATCAGATTAGCATTTAATGGCGGCCTGTTAGCACTCAAAGCTATGCTTTAAAATCTTAAATGAAAAGGATATGTTGTCATTCATCTTTTTGTAATGTGTAAATGAAAATAGACTTTTCAGTATGCATTTAATCTGGGAGAAACTTTAGGAATTCTCAATTTCCCTTGCCATTGTTTTCATTGAAGCCCTAAATAGTCGGTTGTGGAAGTACGTGAAAATTTGATGAGCTGGAATCAATGACTTCTATGAGGTATCGCAAGGAGCTGTTTATGCTTGTTTGCTCAAACTCTTGGCCTATTGAGTTTAGAAATTTTTATATGAAAATCTTTTATCTCGTCTTTTTTAGGACAGCACCTTATATTCCTCACTACGTTATAGCCTTACATAACAGTTTCAGGAAAACAGATGCTATTTTAATTATATGTCATTCAAAGGTATAATTGAAAATTCAAAATTTAAAATTCAATGGCTTTGCTTTTCATCTCCTAGCATAGTCTATAGTGGATATCTTTACCTCTAGGTACTCAACATGTATCATTCATGGAATAAAACTTAATGTGTTTTGAGCCCTTGATGAAGAGATTATGATTCAGTGTATGCGTTGTATTCTTAGTGATCAATTCCTTTTTAATCTATGTCCTTGTTGGAACTAATTCTTTCTCAAGTTCCTATGGTCTTACCTAATCTTGATGCAGCTAGACTTAATAATGAGAACTCTACTAAGTAGTGGGAAATTATTATTGTCATATGCGTGAAAACATGAAATTTTAAGATTTTCCTTGTGGATTTACCTTAGGTTGTGGTTGTTATATCTTTTGGTTTTAGTTTTCTCTTGGGATGCATACCTTAGGGCCTGCAACAATTGCAAAACTTTAGCCTCTCACTCTGTTTTTATTTTTCTTTTGGCTTTTCTTTTCTTTCTTTTTTTTTTTTTTAAAATATGAAGAACCATTCGGTGTCCTGTACTACCAATTAATCTAGATATGAATCTGAATTGAATCTCAAATAGACAACAAAGCTCTTCCAATGTAATGGGGGACTATAGTCAATTATATCTTAAATTGTCAGTTTTTCAGATATTCTTACCTCTCTCCCTCTTTCATCTGGCCTTCTGTCTGATCCTGCTGCATTACATAAACATCAATTTTTAGTGAATATCTAGAAAAATTGAAGTTAAGAAAACACGGTAACATTGAGGACAATCTCCAGCGAAATCATTATGAAGATATTTGATAGAATGCTGTTATGTGTTGGGTATGCCACTACACTTGACCTGGTTTACTTGTATTTTATTGAGAATATATCAAAATATAATGGTGTTTTTCTCTGTTTTTCCCTTCAAAAACAGATGGTTAAGGATGAGATTCACAAAAGAAGGAATATAGAAAGAAAGGATGATACGTTGAGTTTTGAGATGGCACCTGATGAAGAACGTTTCTATGCATCTCTTTCTGCTGCAAAAGCAATAATTATGCGTCACGTTCAGGAATCTGAGGGGAATCCACCAAACTCTCCTACTAAAGTGATGAAGCAGAATGGTATGAACACAAAGTTGTTGGTGAAATCTGTTCAAGAAGAAGCAATAGAAATTAATGATGGTGAGTCGTGAGATTTTGAAACCTTTGGAGCTCAGTCTGTATTGTACATCTGCATTTTTTATTTTATTTTTCTCTCAGTCTACATGATGGTGCTTTCTTTTTGTTGCACCAGTTTCCACTTTTATCCCTCATTGCTGATGTAACTTTCAGATTTTCGGCTCACAGCTGTCAAAATTGTGGGCTTAAAAATTAAAATCCACTTGAAGCCAATAAAAATTTGGCCCCATTTAGTACACTCTAAGTCTAAGGAAAAGAATCCCTTTTTAAGGCACATGGTTTGGGATGCAAAATCATTAGTAGTTATCTCTTTTTATTACTATCTCTTTAGGAGTGAAACATTATATGTGGAAATACATTCAATTTCCTCCCATACTTTTCTTATCTTTAGAGATTGGATATCAATGAGGAAAAATGAAACAAAAAATGATATTCCTTCCTTCATCTTAATAAAGTGTAAAGGGATAATGAAACGTTTGGTTTTAAGTAACACTTCAGGTATTGTCTTGGCCGCTGAAGTTGAACTTTTATTAATGAAGTCTTTATAAGGTTTCATAACCATACGCAATTGGTCTTTCTAATATCATTTTTCCTTCAAATTATAAGTACTAATTGTGTATGATTATGAAACTTGCTGAATATTAATTGATGAATATATTTGACACCTAAGAGGAGCTGATCTGTGTTGGGTCTTCTGTTTATGCAACCTTACTGCCAAGTCACTAGTGACAACTTTATTGATATGTCAAGACCTTTCCTTATTAAATAGGCATGCCATGTTGACTCTTGTAAATGGTGAGTTTTATTTTTCTATTATAAAAGGTAGATATCAAGAGACTAACCAATTTGTGTCTCCTGAATTCCCAAGATATCAATCATATTCGTATAAACATCAACTGAGTGAACAACTCAATATAATCAAGCTTTTCAGTGATGTGTGAACATGCATATTAAGATGGTATCATCACTCAACAAAACTAGAAAAGGGATGAAATAAATATAATGAAGAAACTGATACAAGAAGAAGCATATGAGGAATATAACCAGTAATATATCAGAAAGCAATATAAGGAAGGTTCATCAACTTTTGTGGTGATGATGATAATGATCCGAACATGGGTCTCTTCAACGTATACTTGATTCTGCTGAATCTGTTAATCATGTAATGTGAATCTTGAACTTTTAGCAAAACTCGTAATCTTTTTTTTTTTTGGGTTAAAAAAAAAAAGTTTAGGTGAACTGGATTTTGAGGACTCATTAGGGTCAGGGCATGCCTTTAAATTCGAGAGCACTTATAAAGATACTTATTTATTATCTACCAACAAGATCCTCACATCAGTTATAGGATTCTTCTTACCAGTTAAATTAATTCTTGTTGGCAAATCCCATAATCTTAACCCAACATGGTGTCACAGCTTCTTCAAAAGGCCCAACAGCTGATCCAACTTCAAAAGAGGCCCAAGGGTAAGCATCATGGGGTCCAGTGGGGAGAATAAGTGGAAACCACGTGAGAACAACAGCAATAAAATGTATTGAAGTGAAACACGAGGTCCAGCATAGTTAGCATTTAGTCCTCAAACATTAATCCTTGGCGGTGTGTATGGAGAAGATCTCGTGCTAGCACTAAAACCCCTTTCGAAAAGTCTACGGTATGAGGAATTAGTCACTGTTATCGATGGTTGCGGTGAATGCCCTGGACTTGACAAAAAGAAAACATACTGAAGTCACCAAGTATGCGTGTGGAGAACTTTGTGATCGCCCTCCTTTTGTGCGCTCTTTTCTCTTCCTGTGCCTTCTGAATTTTCTCGGTGATTTACGTTACTGCTATGCTTGTTAGAGTGCTGTGACTGATATTTTCCCGTTTATGAGCTCTCAAGTCACTGAATAATACAGTATTCGAGTTTCCTCCATTTCTTGTTCTCTCCTATTCCTCTACTGTTACACTTGACTTTGGTTACAAGGTAAGTATCGCCAAGAAGTTTGACTCGTGTGGTGCTAGGAAGCGTGTGACGGAGATTTGAATGGGGATTTCCTCCTTCTAGTTGGGATTTCCTCACTTGCTGGTCAAGAAAAACAGAATATGTTTGAATTCCAATTTAATCAGTTCCTTTTGTATTTATAAATATTTACGGAATCACAATACAGCTGTTTTTTTTGCTGATTTGATTTAACATATAAGTCTAATTTAATAATATTCAGAGCATTTAATATCGTTTTATCTATTTTATTCTTCTAATATTGACTTTTTATTGAGTATAGTGGGCAAGTTTTATAATTTTTTTACATATTTAATATTATAATTACTTTTAATTAATATTTTTAATCCATGTGAGATAGTTAAACTTGACTTATACATGTGGCATTGATGATGTTGATGGAATTTTTTTTCCTTGTCTTTTTGCATCGCTTGTATGTGATTGATATGGCATTGAGTTGCCCAAGTCAATATTTTCTACAGCCACATCAATATAATTATATACAAGAAGAATTTGTTTAATAATCTCCTCAGTGTTACCTCGGATAATGATATCAATTTCGGTACTTAAATTTTTTCCCCCAATAATTCTTTCCATAAAAATGGTATTTTATTAATTCTCTATTTTCTGGACTCCATTAAACTTATTCTAGTTGTATAATTTCCATCACTTAATGTAACTGATCTTTTTAAAAGGAAGATGTCGATGGAAACCTTTTCTTAGAAGAAATGGTAACAATCAACAGCCAGTTGTTCTCGTAACAATATTATCTAAGAAATAAAAAACCGGATCGGACACTAAACCGGTTGAGATAATGGGTCAAGTGTTAATAAGTCAAATTGGGGTCAAACCAGGATCAAACTGGTCAAATTAAAATAATATAAAAATATTATTAATTATTACTAAAAAATATTTTATATAGATAATATTTAAAATATATGATTAAATAATAAACATATATTATATACTCCTCCGGTCCTAATTATAAGACCCAATTGACTTATTTGAGGAGATTAAGGAAGTAAGTTAAGTTGGTTATTTATAATAAATAAGTGTTGTCATTCCTAAAATATCCTTGCTAATTAAGTATATTGAGTAAAACTATCATTATTAGAAGGATTATCTTGGAAAAAAATGCATAAATATAAGAGACAAAATGGGTTGGGGTCTTATAATTAGGACCAAATAAAAAGTCAAATGGGGTCTTATAATAAGGACCGGAGGAGTACTTCATTTCCCTAATTTTGTTTTTGGTACTATCAATCTCTCTCGACTCCTACTCAAATTTTACGGAAGAAGGTGCCACGCAATGTCAATCAACCTTAAATTATTAATTAAAAAGCAGCTTTTTTAATTTTCTTTATTTGATTTGAGTCTCTTGCCTTTCAGGTTTAGTAGGTCACGCTCGCCTCTCTCTTCTTTGTGCTCCTTTGTTCAAGTTTCTCTCTCACCTTGCGATCTTCATAGTAAATATGAAGCCTTTATTCTGATTGAAATTTTTTCTGTGCTTTACAAACTAGAAAGTTCTTCATTTCGTTTCTCATCATGATTTATTAGTTTATGGTAAGTTTTTCTTTGCATTTCCCCTTCTCTCTTTCTTCTCTTGTTCCTCTCTTTTTTTCTTTCTTTTTTTCCGATAAGGTTCTTCTTCTTCGCCCCACAGATTCAGATGAAGAATATAGAGAATCGGGTAGCTCAGTCCAACCAACACGTTACCCGGTTTGATGCCGGTTTGCACTAGTTTGTTCTAGTTTTTCTAGATCGATCATTCACCGGTCTTGTTGCTGAACCGGACCGGAAAACTGGCTGGTTTCCAGCCTGAACCGACCGGTCGGGTCTAGTTTTTTTCATTCATTGATATTAGCCACTATGTTTGGGTAATATTTTGAGTTAGAATACAACATTAATATATTTGTATGCGTGCATTGGTCATCAGTATTATCACATTTGAGTCATGGTGACCTTTATGACCCGTAAATCTAATAGTGTTCTATAGGCGTGGTGTAATTGTACATACCAGTTTCATATAACATGTCTCTAATATTTGTGACAAGAGATCTCAATAGATAATTTAGCATACAATCCCTCATCCAATGGTTGAACGCATCTAAATATGAGTATGGATAATTGGACTATGAAATATAACTTCCAGTAAAAAAAAAGAAGAACATAATGTGTTAATGTTTTGTATAAAAGTATGGCTTCTAACTCATTTATATATTTATTCTCAAAATGTAATTAAAAAAAATAAGGGCTTTTCTTTTGTTAAATACAAGTATTTTCCTATTGAAAACAATCCGGTTCGAAATATTATTGGACATGAAATGTTGCTACCTCTCTTAGAAAAGATTTAAACTTTAGATCAATATGTTATAAAAAATTAGTCTCTTTTACTGAATCTAACTTCGGTTTGTAAATAAGAGATGTTTTTGACGTCCCATTGAGAAGCCACGGAGTGGCCTCTTTGTTTTAGCTCCAATAATTAGCCCAAATAGGTTGATTTTACAAATAGGCATGTGTGTATTTAAGGCTCAGTCCTTACTTGTTTGGGCCAAAACCTGAAATAAGGTTCTAGATGAAGCCTCGAATTATGTCCCCTTGGAAAAGCAAAGGGGAAAGAAACGATAAAAGTAGTCGCATTTGGAGGAGAAAAAGTCCAAGTTCTTTTTTTGTTTCTTTTTCCCCCAGCAGTCCAAGTTGTGCATACAAGTAAGGTTCCCACACTTGAGGCGAAATTATTGAGGTCAAACGTGAGTTAATTACAAGATCTCATATATTTAATAGATTACATATGATTCACGTAGTTGGAAAAAAAATTTTCCAAGAATCTTAATATCATAATCTTTTGAGTCAAGATATATTTTTATATTTGTTTGATAAAAGGTACAAACCAATTTCCATATGGGAAAATTTATTTATTATTTATTGTCTAAATGTATCTAAAGATTTAGTTCTTTAATCTTTAATGTATGGCACAACTCATATTTGTAAGTACAACTCTTCTTCAACTATATATAACTTACATCCGATTATAAAAATTTGTATATAGTTAAAGGTATATTGCATATACGTGACGAAGAGTTATACCCGCTGATGATGAGTTACAACCAATCAAAATTCTAAATCCTTAGATATCTTTAAACCATAAATCTTGTAATAAGAGAATACTTTTTTATTTGGTTTCCCTTTCTAATCATCTGATCCTTAATATATGACCTAATTATTAAGTTAATTTTAGTCCTAAATATAAGACTTATTTCTCATATTTATCAATTTTTCTTAAATTACCTTTATGGATACTCACTCAACTATAATCAAGTAGAAGAGGAAGAAAGGATATTAAGAAAGATGATTATGGTGTTTTAGAAAAAACCATGTCATATTTTTTATAATTAACTAACTTACTTAACTTCATTAATCTAATTAGAATAGTTAAATAGGTCTTATATTAAGGTTCGGAATAGTATATCATTTGATAGTCTCCTGAGGCATAACATGTTTTAACACAGCTAATAGGTGTTAGGTTTGAGTTACACCTACTGCTGTTCAAGAATCCAAGTACTTAGATATTTTTAGATAATAAATTCTGTAATGGGATGTTTTTGAATAACTTTTCTTTGGCGTATAGCTGTTGGATTGTTTGATCTAATTATAATATTTTATAGTCATTCATGATAAATGCTTATTATTATCATACATTTTTAGAAATAATTTTGAGAAAATAATCCACAAAGGATTGATCAAAAGATGGAGAAGAGAGCAGAAAGTGATTAACACGCAAAGATATGAGATGAGAGCATTTCAAATTTATATATTCATGAGACTCAGGAAGATCATCTGGATATTGAGGAAGATTTGACGACACTGATTGTATATTAATTAATAATTATAAGTTAATTTAATATTCAATAAATAAATCCATTTCCCACTGAATAACATCATCCAAATCTATTTAAAAAATTCATAGTGATAATAATATTATTATTGGAGAGATTCAGCATATCTTTTTTATTTGCAAGTATCAAATAATCCAACTCGCATTTAAACTGTAGAGTATAAGGTTGACCTCTGGATTCTCTCACGTTATCTAAATCCTCTCACGTTACCTAATTAGACCAAAGTTAGTCACACACACAAAATCATTTGTTGGAACAAAAACAAAAAGATATATGCAATCAATTAATTCTCAGTTAAGAATGTAACAACAACTATCTTTATCATATTAAATGGGATCGGCTATATTATCGCATCATGTCATTGTAGTTAACATCAAATTGTGATCTAAGGACAATTATTCGTCAATTACTGGCTTGTTTAGAGTTAAGATAAAATTCTTCTAATATATTTACGTCATATTCCGTAAATCATAATTAAAAAAACTATTTTTAAAGACTCCTATTACTATTCCTGATAAGGTATGGACAAGTATTGACATGTATGGATAAGATCTATATATCATTTGACAGGCTCGAATAAGGTCTGATATTGGCATGTGGGGCTAAAGGTTCAATTAGCTAGGTTTTTATAACCCAATTAACACCAAACACATTTCTTAATATTTACTTAAACATTAAGTTATGAGTCCAAAGGTTCACAGAGAGTAGGACTCAAATCTGTATAGACCATAGTTCAAGTCCTCCCAATGTGTGTGTGTGTATAAGTATTCAATTCGTAATACAATTTTTTGTTAAAACATGTGATGGGATAGATGATTTTTTGTTTGTAAGTTGTTAGAAATATATAATAATTTAATTTCTTTACAAAATTTAATTTCTTTTTAAACATTTCTTTTTAAACACAGAGTGTATTCTTAAAAATAGAGTCTAATATCTTTTCGACTATTGAAGATAAATCCTATTAAAATAAAATTTATTGCAGACTGAAAAAAATAAAATAAAAAAGAATAATATTGAATATGAAAAAGAGCCCCTTTATTCACATTCACAGTGTAACTATAAGCCGTAAGACCTACCCTGATTTTAATAAGTTAAAGAAACACAAATTATCTAAATTTGTATTTATAAAAATATATACGATATAAACTTTTTATGAACTTTACATCTATTTAGAGCTCATAGACCTAAGTCAGATTAATTGACCTATTACCTTTGCCTTAGCCTACTTTGACATGACAACTCCAATGTGTTCTTGAACCCCATTTTGTCTGTCCTAAAAAGCCGTAAGCCAGTAACCACGGAAAGACCTACTAAATTAAATAAAAATAAATGGAGATTACTATTTGTATAGGATAAATCATAATTAGATGATTTTTAGGGCTTGTTCACGACCAAAAAAAACCATAGATTTTAATATATATTTTAAATAATTTAAAATTCTTTATTGAAAACAATAGAATGTACAATGAAATTTATTTTTAAAAAAAGTAATTTCCAATAGATAATGATTAAAAATAAAAGTAAAAACCTTTTTTATCTTGATAATTCAATACACAAGCCAAAATTATGATAAAATTTGAATCATACAAATTAATTTAAATAATTTAAATCTCAGCATGAAAGAACAGCATGATCTTGTCTTTAAGATAAATAGAGTAACACAAAGGTTTTGGGACAGATTTGGATTCTGTTCACACTTTCTCTCAATACACCAAATAAGTGATTAAATAAATGGAAGAAGAAACTGTGTATGGAGAACTTGGAGAGATCCATATTTGACATTGGGATTGTGTAGTTTTTTAATAATGAACATTTGGTCACAAATATTCATTACAATTTTTGTGTCATAAAAATTATGATAAATGAATTTTTTGCATGATTAAATGTCACAAAATTCAACCCTTCAAAAAATTTCATATATGTGATTTTGATTGAACTTCTAACATAGTATTACTTAAATTCATTTTTATTTTAGGCTTTGATATATAAAAAGCAATAGAATGAAGAAATAATGGAATAAAAATAATTTTGTAAAAAAATCTTTACAACTCCAAATTTAAAAAAAAATAATAGAAAAAATAGATTTGACTACGATTCATATGAGTAGAACAGATATTGCATATATCTGTATTTGTGGGAAGGAAACTTATCCTATTGGTTCGGAAGTTAAATAAAGTGAGAGCTCACCAACCAATAACTGAGATGAAAATGATAGTTTCATACATGAGACAAGTATATCAATAAATTAAAAAAAAAAGGTTCTCTATTAAAAATTTATTTAGCGAGAATGACATAAATCAGAATGCCTGATAATTATATATACAAAATTTGTAAAGTATCGGTACTTTTTATGTAAATATTTAGCAAGTCTTTTTCACTAATAAAATTTCTAATAAAAAACCTTTCTCCAATTTTTCCTATTTACAATGACTATATGTTCCCATTTTTCTAATAAAATAACTTTTGTATCTAAAGAATCAAAGTCGTTACCATTTCTACTAGAAAAACCATCCACTATGAATATGGAATAAACTTCAACCTCTGGAACAAAGACCAGAACAGTTGAAAATAAAAATAAATATATATATATTTTTTCCATTGGCACCCAGCTTGCCAGGTAATGTCTGAGGCTCAGTCAACAAGAGCAGATCCTTGATACCTCTCTAAGGAACAAGCTAAGTCTATAAGTAGAGTTAACAAATATTCAATCATAAAGTACTTATTTGTAACCTCTCCTAAGAATCCATTAAAATAACATCTTCCTGTCGCTTATCTTGAAGGCAACCAGCATCTTGGAAATTTCAACTTTAAACCACAATCTCACAAGTGACAACTATGCCAGCCTCCAAGCTCACCCACAAATACTCCATCAAAAACTGAGCAATACCGCTAGTTTGTCCCTGTTCACACATTCCCATACCAACAAAATCTCTTCTTTTTTTTTTTTTTTAATATCACATATCACCCCTTTTCTGTTCCTATAAATTCGGTTCAGTTTTAAGAACTAAGAGCATCAAGAACTTGAAAATGCCAGTGCCAACAAGAATTCCAAGCATGGTAAGTCAGATTTTCAGAGTCTAGTCTTTTTAACACATTTTCTTGTAGGCTGGAAGTTGTTGAATACATACCGTTAGTTCTGTTCTTTGGTTATCAGTTTGTTTGAATTTTGTTTTCTGTGAGTTCTCAGAGTTTGAAGAAATTGCAGGTGTCTATGGCTGTTTCAGAGGAGGCCAATAATGTCGCCATCATCTTTGGGGTCACTGGGCTTGTTGGCAGAGAGATTGCTAAGAGTCTGATTTCTTCAGGATCTTCATGGAAGGTCTATGGAATAGCAAGAAATCCAGAAATACAACCCATCATCACCATGAAAAGTTGTAATCCTTACCATTTCATTTCCTGTGATTTGCTTAATCCTTTGGAAACTCACAAGAAGCTGTCCCTATTACATGATGTGACCCATGTGTTTTGGGTCACATGGGCAAGCCAATTTCCACTAGACTCACAAGAGACTTGTGAGCACAACAAAACCATGATGTCCAATGCCTTGAACACCATAATCACTGTGGCCAAGAACCTCAAGCATGTTTCTCTGCAGACAGGGACAAAGCACTACATCTCACTTCAACCCCCTTTTGAACAACACCAAAAACTCCATTATTACCACGAAGAATCCCCAAGAATAACCAGTAAAATTCCAAATTTCTACTACGCTCTAGAGGATTTTCTAATGGAGAAACTCAATGGGAAAGTGACTTGGTCTGTGCACAGGCCTGGTTTACTCCTTGGAAACTCAACCAGAACATTCTATAACTTCATGGGAAGCTTATGTGTTTATGGGACTTTCTGCAAACACTTTAAGATCCCTTTTATTTTTGGGGGAACAAGGAAGTGTTGGGAAGAACCATACATTGACGGGTCAGATTCAAGACTAGTAGCTGAACAACACATCTGGGCAGCAACAAAACAAGCCACAGATTGTTGCAGAAAAGGGGAAGCTTTCAATGCAATCAATGGTTCAAGCTTTACATGGAAGGAGATATGGCCGATTCTGGGGAAGAAGTTTGGGGCATATGTGCCTGAAGAAGAAGAAGAAGAAATGGTTTGTGAGGGATTCTGGTATTGCAGAGAGATGGGTGATGAGAAGAAGAAGAGGGTATGGGAAGAGATTGTGGAGAAGCATGGATTGGTGAGGACAAAGATGGAAGATTTAGCCAACTGGGGGTTTCTTGATGCCTTGTTTAGATTCCCTATGAAGCTGTTGGTGAGCCGAGATAAGGTTGATGGGTTTGGTTTTGTCAAAAGATGTAACACTTTGAATTGTATATTGTATTGGATCGATTGCATGAGAGATCAGAAACTCATTCCTAGGCTCTAGATTTTTAGGGTATGGTAATATAGTTTAGTTTCTCAATGTCATGTATATGTATTTTCTCACCAAAATAGATAAGTGTAATTGGTGTTAAATTGGTGCAAGTGTACCATGTACGCATTTTTCTTTTCTAAAGATTTGCCAACTCTAGTGAGCTTTCAAAATCTAACTTACCTAGCCAATTTGTCTACCTAAAAAAATTAAGCAGTGTGTACACATGATGTGTCTTGTTTTTTTCTTTTTTAATTCATGTACTGTATATCATTCAATTTTTTTTTTAAAACAAAAACAAAAACTATAAGAGTCAAGGATCTCTCGTCAATATCTTCTTTTTATCCAAAAGGTAAAAAAGTGATCAAGAATACAAAAATGAAGCCTTCGTGTTATGAGGAAAGCATCACTAAATAATCTACACAAAAAAGATCTTTTTCTAAGAATATGAGAAAGAAAAACCTGCCACTGGCAATCTTTGTGAATAACCTAATATTCTAATTAACATCTGCAAATGGGTGATCACACCCTCTAGAGATTAAATTAATGGTTTCTATGCAATCATGATGAGGAATAATATTTCTATAATGTTACCATTGCTGTGTTAGTCCTTGGAATATGTCCCTAACTGTGTTAGTCCCACATAACTCTTGAAGTAGAAAGCACAATTTTCCATCAAATCCTTCTCCCAAGAAGCCTATAGAAGAAACTAGAGTGAGTGTTAAAGTGATCACTGGTCTTGGTAGAGTCAAACAACTCACCGTCTCTTGACACTTCAATATCCTAGCAAATATAACCAAAAGAAATTGACCATTGGATCTTCTTAGTATGAGATTCCATCTAGCCATATGGTAGGAACAACCACATAATTGCAACTATGTATAACATTCAAATAGTTTCCAATTAAGCGGATTGAGTCTTCAATCTCTGATCATTCAAATGAGCAATTAGTTGGACTTGTTAGGCCTAGTCTCAATATGAGCTCAAAAGTATGTACTTTTTCATGTTATAAGAGTCACATAAAAGATTTAATCTTCTTTGGTACTGACCATCCAACCATCTCCAAATTATTGTTTTGTCTTTAAATTGAACAATGCTGGACTAATTAATTAGAGAAATAAGCTATACTCCCTCCATTTTTTTTATCTCTTTTCAAATATATTCTATGCGTAGTGATATTCTTTTTTTCAATTTTTCACTTCTCCCGTTGTCCACGTTAAAATATCCTATTTGAGGTAATATGCATGAAACGTTATAATTCTAATATTGTTTAGTCCCAAATGATTTTTTTCAATAATCATTGTTATTTTGAAGTTTCATCTGCAGCTAATAATATTGTTTAGTCATTTAATATTTGCATCTTTTGTTGGCATCATTAGGATTATATGATTAAAAAGACACCTCATAAAATTAGGGGATAAAAATATAATTTTGTGCAAAATTAGACGATTAAGTGAAGTTTTATCTTTTACCTAAAAAATTGTGAATATAAAACTAAGTGAGTCTTTTCTTTTGCCACCAACAAAAATAAATGAATCTCGTACGTATTCATCCTTGTTTACGTCATAGTTTCCAATTACGTGCACTGTATAATTATCAAATATCTAATGCTCAAAGAATTTTATAATAAACTATGCTTTTGGGAAAGAAAAAGTCATATTTTTTAATATTTTGAGTATTTCAAATCAATTTTCAAAAACAATATTTGTTTAATTTAAAACCACATGGAGCCAAAATTCTCTAAATCAACAATTGTTTTCCACTTAAAGTGCCCATGCTCAATTTGTTTTTAAAAGAAAACACTTTTTTCCTTTTCTTTTTTGTTTTTTTTTGTTTTTCCAATTAAAGAAAACACATGTTGAAGCAATTAAAGTAAACTGATTACTATAATAATGAAAATGGACCGATGGGGTGGAGAACAACTTTCCAAAGGTGGAGTTGGATTGATAGAAGAAATGTATGGAGCAGCACAAATTAGGGGCTGCATGTGATGGTTGACCAAAGGATTAATTAAATAGAGAATGATGGATTATATACTAAACAAATAATAATAATAATAATAATAATAATAATAATAATAATAATAATAATAATATCTTCATGAGAAAAAAGATAAATATCTTCTTTTGTACATTTCTGTCTCTCCACATGCCTCCAATTCTATGCCCTTCTTGTCTTCTTCATGATTTGCCTAACAACACATTTTTGGGTTGGTCACTGTCTTGATGTCTTCTACATTCGCTTTCACTTGCGTTTTCTGCTCTTCCATGCAAATTTGTCTTATTTTTCAGTTTTTTTCTCTCCACATATGATCATTACCTCATATAAAATAAAGAAATTTAAATTTTCTGATAAAGTTGATGGACTAAAAAATTAATTTTTTATAAAATATATATGGCATTCCCTCTAGTTCTATATAAAAATTTTCTCATAGATAATATGTTTCTACTTATAACAAACACTAATAGCTTATTGATAAAGATTAATTTTTATATATTTAATCCTATATTAATCTTGAATTTAAATGATATCTTGAGTTTAAATGGATGTTTTATGCATTATTAGATTAATTGATTGATTCTAGGATTTTTCATAAAAATTAATATTTTGGATTGAAAATATGAATATCCTGTGATTTTCCATTTTAGTTTAAAATTAATATTTCTTATTCTTTGGAAACAATTCTTATATTTTCGGGAAGATTGATTTTTGAAAAGTTTTTTCAATTTCTTGTCTTATCTTATCTTAGGTGCATATCGAATATTTAATTTTGATATGGATTGTATCATATTTAAATATAATCTACATTTATAGATGCACTTAAATATTTGTAGGTAAAAGAAAAACATCTAAAAAATTCAATAGTGCAAAACTCAATCCAATGACTAATATCAAGTGAGTCAATTAAACTAATGAGCTTAAGTTTTTGATTAAAAAAAAGATCCCTCTTCTTCTATTAAATTAACCTTGCTGCCACCTCCCTATCAGTCTCTCTCTCTCTCCCCCCCCCCCCCCCCCCCCCTTCCCTCCCCCTCCCCACAGACACTCTGTCTCTCGTCAACACAAACTCATATCCATTGTTCTTGTGTCCCTTAATCATCACGCCGCCACCTAATCCCCTCCACCGTTCATTGTCAAATCTCTTTCTTCATAACTATTCCATCATTCATGAACACACGCCAACATTAGTTTCATCTCTCATCCTATCAACACATTATCGTGCCCATGGCATCTAACAACTTTGGAGCAGAATGCATTTTGATGGCAGCTTGCTTAGCAACTTAGGAAAAACATGGAGGAGGCTAGAGTTTTTAGCTAACATTTGAAGACTACATAGAAATAATACTCTATTTATCTTTTTAATTTAAGGACTTAAAATCAATTATTTTTAAATAATAATTTCGAGTTGTCTTTTCATAAGACAATTTAGTTTTAGATTGTCATTTTTATTTTTGGATTGGATTATATTTGTGTTGAGATACTTATTAAAATTTATGTTTATTAACCTTTGTATTATTAATTGAATTTATAATTGGGTTCTCATTGTAAATTTAATTGTTAATGTGGTTTGAATTGCAAATTTGGGTTCTTTTATCTCTTGATTGTTTAATTCAGTTGGTAAATTGTCTAATTGTTTAATTAGGTGATTTCAAACATAATTTTTAGAATTGATTTGAACAAATTGTTATTGGTTTTAATGGTTTAATTAACTAGCCTTATTCTCTAATGGCTTAAGTGTTTTTGAATTTAAGGATTTATTTTATTTCAAGTAGGTAATTGTCATTTCTCTTTAGTCTAATTAATTGATTTAGGCTGTGAAAGTTAATTCCATACAAATCTTAAATTGTTTCCTCTACTGTGCTTAAAGAAAACCCTTGGTTTGCTTTTTTTTTGCTCAATTTTCCTTCAGCATTTTAATTTTTTCTTCTAAAAAAAAAAATCTTCCCCCAAATTGCATTTGTATTCATTTAGTTTCATTTAATTTTCATGTAGATTTCAGGACATTTGCATAATGCATTTATATTTAATATTTTGCATTTTAGTTTAGGTTCATTTTATCACATTTTTTATTACCTATATTCTTACCTGAAGAAACACGTAGCTTGCTCCTTAAAAGTAATGACTTATGTTGATCATAAACTACAAATTATTTAAGACTTAGTTTAATTGAATGCTTTAACAACAGAGGTATTGCTATCTATCTAAGATTTTACTACTCCTCCAGTGTTAAATGTAAAATTTATTTTGTAATGTAAATAAAACTTATTTTATAATGTAATTTACACTACAAAATAAGTTTTATATTTAAAACAGGAGGGAGTGTATTTTTCAGTTTTGCTTACATTAATTACTAGTTAGTCTCATTGCATTAATTATCCGCTAACTCACTCATTCCCTGTTCACGGTATTTTTGAAAAATAAGTTATGTTCTTTATATATTTATTGTATTTATTAATTTTAACTAACTTTTTTTTATTTATGTAATTTGTATTCTATGAAAAAAGGAGGGAGTGATTCTTAAATCCAAATTGAGACTGATGGTGATAAAATGTAACATGCATATTGTATGTTTCTTTATACAAGCTTCAGGCATGCCAAGGGATAAGAAATATGAAATGATCATATTTTATTTCTATCAAGTATATTCTTATTTCTTTTTTTTTCCTTCACAAAACATCAACGACAATAAAATTAAATGTGCTAAATTAACAGCAACAGGGCCTTATCATGTATATGAAAATAAACTGCTATGTTATCATCCCTTTCTAGTGTAAAAAACTACTTAACTAGTTTGAGTAAAATAATAAAGTTAAATAAATTACTTTTTTTTTTATAACAAATATAACACTGTCTCCCTAAAATAACCCTATATGACAAGTTTTTAAGTTAGATAAACTATTTTTAAAAAATGATAAATATGATAGGAAAAAAATAAAATAAGGTATTACAATTTTGTTTTTGCCAAAAATATAAGCTATTACATTTAAAACTAAAATTAACTCCCTAACTCACTTTTATATCGGAGAAATATTAAGGGGAAGATTGTACAAGAGAACATAAGATGATAAATTTTCTTGCTATTTAATTGGATTCATGATTCACAATGATTGCACAAGTGCCCGTCTTTTAAAATGAATTATGTTCAATAGTTTGTAAACAGTACTCCATCGAATTTTCTATACAAGTCAGAGTCTAGGAAAGATTCGCAAACCAGAACAGAATGTGAGTCACTTTATAAACGATTAAATACATATTTCACGCTATAGTACGTAGGTTTAGATGCAGATCAATGCAATTTCCAGACAATTTTAATAATGCTGTCAAGTTTACTTGATTCTCGTGAGATAATTAAAAAGTGACTTAATTAAGAATTAGATTTGTTACAACTTATTACAGATTATGGAAGTTACTTTCGCCTCAATTTTTTAATCAATAAAATAAAACTAAAAAATCTGAACCTACTAGGCTACCGCTATATTTACAGATATTTAAACACAGGAAAAAGATCTCAATCTAAAAGCTTCAAAACTATACCTTTCTATTCTAATATCACCATACAGGTACAATTTCACATAAAATCAAAAGATGCTAGACTGTTTCTAATACCAATAGATGTACATATCAAAAGTCTACACAACCAACCCTGCCATCGCATAAAGCATAACAGAAAAGCCGAGCTCACTACATGATGATGGCATCCCTCCCATTCCAAAACAACAAAATTAGGAGGAAAATTTGCCCACCTGTACAAAATTACAAGGTAAAATGGAAAGTGGTTCAACTATGACACAATGCTCAATGCTTTTTTGACTTTGACTTCTTAAGCTTGGCTATGAAAGCATCATCATCAGAATCATCATCATCATCATCGCCCTTCTTCCGACCTTTCTTCTGGCCCTTCTTCTTCTCAGCACTTGCACATATAACAATTTTCCTCTCTTCTTCCTCCTCTATAGGTTCACACTTCTCTTTAGGCTTCCATATGAACAGTGATCTACATAGGTAACACAAGTCAGTCGAAGAATTAAAAGAGACCAAGGTTATTTTCTCATGTTCTCATTTGATTTCAACCCTTAAATCTAACAAGTAGACAGAAAAAACTGGTCAAAGTGAAATCAGCATTCATAATTCTCAATAATTTGCATAGATAACGTGTACACACAGACTAAACAAGCTTCCATAATTAAGATAATCAGATAATCAGCTCCGAATTGGAGCAAGGAAAAATCATGCTTCATATGGACTTGTTATGAAGGTCTAGAGTCAGCTTTAAAAAGTTCTTTTGATATGGAAGGATAAAAGCCTTAACCATCTGTTTGTTTCCAAGGGAATTAAAGGGATGGGAGATTCTAATGAGTTTGATTTAGAAAATATGGAAAAGTGGAGTTATTAAATTTTAATAAAGGGAAAATGTAAGAGAGAATGGCAATAAAAACTAAATAGAAACTTTCAACCCCATCTCTCCCTTTTAAAACTTGAAGTAATTAAATCCCCTCCCCATTATTTCCCTCAAACAAAAGAGGTACTTATCATATGGATTACAGGTCAAATCTCATTAGCCAAGAATTAATAGTCAGCTTTAATACTAGCCGATAGCTGCATAATTTTTTTTTCCCCCTTTTTCTTTGGCTGAAATAATGGCACAGATTAATGAGTCTTGCATCTGGTGTAATAAATTTTAATAACAGCCATTCAATTGAATGATGATGTAGGAATAAAATCAAAGACGGTACAAACCTAGAACTTCCAGATGCCAGAATATCATCACGTGGATGCAGCTTGTTCACGGGACTGATGGTTGTGATGTTTGGGTCCATGACCTCTGCTACCAATTGCCCTGTACTGGTATCTATAAAATCAATAGGATGCAGGGCAGCTCCATTATAATTTTCACTGATATAACGACCAACAACAGCCAGGGACTCTGATGGATCCTGCAATCACCCAAAAAAGGGGGGTAATACTTGGAACCATAATGAAATGTGAGATTTAACAGAAGAAATGAAAACTGGGGAGGAAGTAGGAAACCTTTGGATCCCATTCAGCTCTAAAAGGAGTCAAATACCGATTGAAATCATGACTATGTACAATTTGGCGGCTTGGAGAATCCATATTGCCAAATATGGAATCCCATATGCGAAGGCGGTTGTCCAGTGATGTCGTAAGGATTTTAATCCCAGAAATAGGAGAAAAATATGCAGAGCTAACTACACGACCATGCTCAAGTTGATAAAGGGATGAACCAGTTTCCAACCGACGCATATCCCAAATACGAGCCTGGAAAAAAAAAAAAAAAAAACACCATAACATGCCTTGGGAACAATTGGGATTCAAGATCTGAAAGATTATAACGAGAGGCACATATCCAAACATAAATGTTATAATAAAGCTATAGCTATCAAATAGATGTTTCTATCCGCTTCAGGAGCAAGAAAAGTGGCAAAAATCCCACATAATGAATGCATACCATAGATGTTTGTACGCTAGCAGTAATACGAAAATGCAAAAGGAAGTGAACTCACGAAGTGATCATTTCCACAACTCAAGAGGAGGTCAGGTTGTACTGGATTGCAATGAAGACCAACAACTTTGGTACCTTCTTATGAATCAAAATGGCATTGCCAGTCTTGTAGTTGGTGCGAGTATCTACCCTATAAATGGCACCAAGATTATAAAATATTTCTTAGCTAAGTAATTTCATATACAACTAACATATAGCAAGAATATTAGAGCTTTCAGCTTTTTTATTATCAAGTAGAAATCACAATTCCAAAAGTTATTACATTATGCTTGTATACTTCAATTCTCTTATGCTGAACAAAATAAGTTTTTTCTGTATGATATGTTCTTTAACAGCTTCAACAAAGTACGGCCCTAAAACCCAGACAATGAACAGACTGACAGAGTCCTCTGCAAGAATAGGCCAGCCCCTACCAAATGCACTGATAATCATATCATATATTTAACCACCAGTTGTCAATACCCAAGCATAACATAGATACTCAAGATCAAAAAAATGAGAGGCAGGCCAAATTTCACCTAAATATAAATTTCAGTACACACACTATACACAGTGAACAAATGCACACAATGGCGTTTCAAAAACTTAAATCATCACAACCCAAAGACAGGAAAGTTGCAACTAAGGTTATGATGAACAAGCGTGTGATAAAAAAATTTTCAAAAAAAAATTGTACCAGAGCGTATTGCTATGTATCACTTTGCATCAAACAGCTACTGCACCCGGACAAAGGAAGATATTTAAAAAATTACTTACAAATGAAGAAAGCCAAAGTTATCAGCAACAAGCGCAAGACCTTTCTCCAAGTTAACATCCATGCCATAAAGCATTTTCCAACTGCTTGGACCCTAATCAGAACATACAAAAGCAAAATTTTCTTCTGTAGAAAGATTAAACACAAATTCACACGCAAAGTCCAATGAATCTTCTTCCATATCTTTCACTCATGCATTGCCATATATTCCCCTACAGAAGAAGCAAAAGTCTTGTCTTTGACCTATGTTAATTTGGGCTGAAAGAAATTAAAACGATGCTAAATGCACAACCTAGAGATCTTTCCTTGAAGCGGAAAAGGTAAGTTGAGATTATGGTTAGAACTTCAGCCATCACCAATCAATCAAGATTGTGAAGAGTAGGTAACAAAGAAAAGAGCAAAGAAGAAATATATCACCAGCCATCCGTCAGGGTTAAGGTCCATTAGCAGGGATGAAATTCCGGTCTCCAGGTCTGTGTAACTAAAGGTGCCATCTGAGGAAGCACAGTAGAACATACAATCATTTCTAGGGTTAAACCTACAAGGTTGCCAAATTGCAATTAGCCTTCAAAATTAGTATCATTCCAAAGATAAAAATAAATGTAAAGATGTTGGCACACAATGAATATGAAACATTTATATATCGATTAAAACATGCCATGGTTTGAACAGGAAAAAAAAAGAAAAGAAAAGAAAAAGAAACTCACCTCATGTTATTTACTATGCATGAATGTATATTTCCATAGACCGTCCTCTCATCTACTTTTTCAAAATTCCAGACTCCAACTTGTCCTTTCTTTTAGAATTAAAAGACAGGAAGATGGAATTAGGACTGCTAATCTTAAGCATCAAACTTTACTGATTACAAACTGCAGTGTATAATATATAAATAGACGACCTTATCTCCGGATAAGAGGATGTTATTCTTTGTGGGGTGGAATTCCAAGCATGTTACTCTTCTACTGTGATGTCTGATAACAGCACTCTGTACTTGGTCAGGGATCATATATTTGGGTTTGATCTATTGCACAAAAAGAAAATACAAGAACTTCATCATAATAAGGCCTCCTTCATACTATGCCCCATCTCTCTCAAAGGGAATAAAATTATCAGGTTAAGAAATAAAGTGAAATCACAAATTTTGAAGTTCTCATGATCTATAAAACATAAAAATTTAAAATTAAAGGGCCTCAGTATATAAAACGAACAAGAACGACTAATGATTCATCCCCACAATGAAAACAACTGTGAATTCAGTGCGAAAGGGGAAAAGCATCATGGGTAGTACTAAAAGAATAGGATATGATCAACTGGTGGTGATTGTAGATCGACCATTCAATGACTAAGCTAAAATTTAATTCTTATAAAGGCTGAGAGGCTGTACTTTCTTTCTCGCAATGAATTACAACAATAATTAAAATAAGGGAAGTCAAGCATACAAAAAGGAACCACAGCCACAAAAGGGTCAATATATTAAAACTTAGAAAAATAAAAAATAAGTTTACTTTAGATTAGTTATTTCTTGTAAACTCTTAATAACTAGTTGAAGAGTTTGGGTTACTTATTGCAATGAGGCTAACTAGTATGAAGAATTAATTCTGCATGCCAACATGCACCTGTTTTAACAGAAAACACAGAAGCAAAAGCAAAACCAAAAACAAAAGCGGCAAACAACTACACACACCATCCTTCAACAAGAAATTTTTTTAAGATAGGCAGGAGGGGGAGTTTGACTTCTAGTTTCTCAACATACTTAAGATATCTTGCCTCATTGACCAAGCAAATAACCAAATATATTAATACAGCAATGTCATTTAGGAAACTCAAAGGCCAAAGAACAGGACGAATTCCACCAGAGTGCTTCTTAGAACATGATTTGAGTTATTGCTATGTTTGAACATGCAAAAGTGGCCCAAATGCGTTGATACTTAATACTACATTGACCCCAAAAAAAAAAATTCTTCAAGACCAAAAGAAAGAAACAGTTCAGTCATGCTTACCGGAGGTACGGATGGTCTTAGCTGCCGTTCAAACACATATTCAAAAGGTTTACATGTATTTCTGCGCGGAGCAGGAATAACTCCAAACTCAGAATTCACTCTATGAGGGCAAGTCATTGTAGTGTGTCCTTCGATTAAGAAACACAGCAAGTAAAGATGTCAAGGACAAATACGACAATGAAATTATAAGGTTCCAAAAGATACCTCCGTACTTAAATTTACTTTTAAGCCAGGAAGACGACCTTTTAGTACAATATAACATGAAATCAGGTTAAAAGCGTCAAGTAAGAATGAACATTTCACCAAGAGAACAAGAGTGGAATGAATAAAAGTAACAGCAAAGAAAGAAGCTTTTTTCATTTACCAGGCATTTTACACAGATAGCAAGGCTTCATGGGGCAATCGATATAAGTCGCCCCCTTGAATCCCGCTTCATGCCCAGGCTTCTTGCACACCTAAAACGTCATTAACGATAAAAACCCCAAAATTACAATGGCACGAATAAGGACAGGGGAAGAAAGGGAAGCAAAGAAGGGGTGGGAGGCGGGGACACTAACTTTGCAAACTTTCTTGAGACTGATAGTGATAGGTGCTTTCCCTTTCTTTGCGTCCAAACCCACTTCAACTCCCTCAACGTCTCCCCTCTCCGCAATGCCATTTTCCTTTTCTTCATCGTCTTCCAGTGTTTCAGATTGTTCCTCTTCATCGGGTTCCTCGTCAGAGCTACTCTGTTCAGAGTCAGAGTCCCTCTCAATGACGACTTTCGGGAAGGCCATTCTTCGAGTAACCGGAGCCATTTTCTCCAACAGAAAATGAAAAGGCAAAACCAAAAGGCAAAAGTGGAGGAGAAATGAGAGTGACTAAGAACAAAAGAGGGAAAATTGGTGCGAAATGGAACGACTCAACCGACTTTGATCTCCGGGCATTGGTCGGTCGGCGGGGGTGAGATTACAGATATGCCCAAAGTGCTTAATGTGTCTGCCGTTTTGTTCCTTTGCTAGCCAAATATAAGATTTCGTACAAAGGGCAAACATGGAATCTTAGTTAGGGTTCCCTTTTTCCAGGCTAGAGACTGTCCTACTTTTCGTATGACACGTGGCTTGTTCTGTGCCAAAAATAGATATGACTTGTTGGCATGTTATATTAGGAAGGACTTTATATAACATTTTTGCATTAAATTGTGGGGTCTCAAGCATTTTATCCTCGCAGAATATCAAAATATTAAACTTTCAAAATAATTTTTGAAAGGACTCAATATTTAAAATTTTTAAGGATTATTTTAAAATTAAGTTTTTTTTTTGTTAAATACCTAATTGCCCTCAATAAAATGATTTTTTTATCATTGTCATTTGGACAAGTTATTGTCGGTTTAATTGTTGTTGTCGTCATTTCTTGTTTTTTTTTTATTTTTTTTTTCCAGAGGTCATGTTAAAGGCATTCAGGTATTCTGCTATAAACTTTATCTTAGGGGGTGTTTGGCAATCTTGAAAAGTGTTTCTTAGAAGCAGTTTTCCGTAAAAAGAGACAAACTCCTTTACATATTTATTTCGTAAACCGTAAAAATACTTTTGAAACCATGATATAGTTTCTATCCAAACACCCCCTTAGACTAATCTTTAAGTACTTCATAGTGATTAACCCATTTTGGAATCTGAATTTTTTTGGATAAAACAAGTCAATAATAAGTTCCAAAAACATAGACCAACCTAAGTGTTGACTATGCAACAAGGTACTACCTCAACTCTTTAATATAAAAACTAGTTGACTAATTTGAGTAAATTAAGAAAATTAGTTAAATTCATTATTTGAAATAAATATGGGTTGTCTTTTCCAAAACATCCTGGCTAATCAAGTGTATTGGCTAGAATTACAATTATTACAAGAACTACCTTAGAAAAAAATTGATAAAAATGAGAAACAAAATGGATTGAGTTTTTATATTTAGATCAAAATAAAAGTCCAACAAGTTCTTATATTAAAGACCAAAGTTAATACTAACTTATGATGAATAAGAAAATTAGATGAATAACCAAGCATTGAACATTCTCAGACATAGCTTGATACCCTATAGGGATTATTGTGAAAGGCTTGACCTTTGTATTTGGTTGCGGTACTAGCCACAACTATGTATCATCCCCTGGATTCATACCTATATTATTAGTGGTCAATAAATTTTTCCTGAAGCACTTGAAGAAAGCATATCTTCTTGTCAAAAGTTTACATGTAAAAGAGTGCAACAACAACAACAACAAATCTTATTTCATTGTGTGAAATTAGCTACAAACAAAAGAGTGTTTATGAAAAATCCTAGCACCATCTTGAATAGTTTTAGCTCCATTATTATTCCCAATTATGCACTTCCATTCTATGATCCATTCGACTCCTGCATTGCTATACTAAAATAGCTTCATTGCATTTGCAAAAACCCGTTCGCTTTATATTTTGATCTCAAATTGTATCATATATCTTAATGCGGTTTCATTGTATGGTTTAAGATATGGCTGGCTAATGGAAATCTATTGTGAACCCTGACAAGTGGCTTTCTTTTTCTGCTTTCCAAGGAATTGACTGGATCAAGTAGAATCTCACAAATGAATCAGGAAAGCACCATGCAAAAAAGATTCAATGGTTAACTCTTTTTGGCTAAGTGTGTTGGGATATATATGGATTGCACGTTGCTGTAAAGTTTTTGATTCATCAATAAATGCAACCCTTTACGATGTAAATGGTAGTTCTTCAAAGCTTGTCTAGATTGGGACCTATTGGGAAAGCACAACCTTGGCTATGCCAGACCAAAAGCCTTTTTTAACTAAAAGCAATAGAGGTGAGTAAAACCAAATCATAACTGATCACCGAACCAAACCAAATGTATTTTCGATTTTTCGATTCAGTTTCATTTTTGGTTTTATTTTTTTTTAAATTTCAGTGATTGGTGTTCGGTTCGGTTATCAAAAAAAATTCTGTTTAAAACCGAAAAACCGAAAAATGAGTATATATAATATTATATATATAACAAGAAACTAAGCTAGGTAAAAGCTTCCGGTTTAAAAAAAAAAGCTACGTTAAAGTTGATAGGCCCAAGTATATTTCTAACTAAACCCAGCCTAATATAACTAATCCTTAAAGCAAGACAACTGGTCATTTTTACTATTCTCCTATCGCAGCCTCCTCATCCCATATCCCCATCTTATGTCCAGCTTCCACCTCCCCACCACACAATTTCAAAAATGTTGTCTTCTTCTTGCCAACATGTCTCAGAGCATCATTAGCCTCAACTTGCTCTAATGCTCTCTCCTTCACACTTCTTTACTGATATTCTTTTGCTCTCTTTTCCTATGCGATGTTTATGCTTATTGCTTCATCCATGCTTTTCTTCTTCTCCTCATTGTTCAACATCAAACACAAACACACACACTGACTAAGTCGATGTTTATGTTTTATCTCTCTCTCATTCTCTCTTTTGTTGAGTCACCATTCTTATTCAACATCAAACACACACACATTTGTGACTTTATGGCAGATTTAAACAAGAGAAAAACCAATATGCCTATTAACCGATTAGACTAACCAAAACCGAATTGACATATTTTGGTTAGGTTTCATTCGGTTATTGAGAGAAGATCGGTTCGGTTTGGTGTTGAAAAATATTTCAATTTGGTCATTAGTTATTTCGGTTTCCAAACTGAACCGAACTGAACAAACCGATTGGACACCCCTAGGAAGCAATCATCACGAGGACTATGTTCAATTGGAAGTTGATGGTTTTGTGCGGCGAAATGGACAAGTGGATGTGGAGGAGTCATTCGAGACAAAGAGGGACGATGGATAAGCAGCTTCAGTTGCAAGCCTACCCCAATTCCTCCAGCCATAGCAAACATCTTAGGCATCATGATTGGCCTTAATTGATACTGGCAAAAAAACTATAGAGTTGTCATTCGATATTACAAAAAAGATCATTTTCTCTTTTTTTTGTCTGAAATTAAAAAAAAACAGAGAAAAATGTCTTATATTCATTTGGTTAAAATGAAAGATGAGTATAGGGTCCATACTAATCTAATTGTATTGAAATTTTGAATTTATTATCTAGATGTTGTGATTTTAATAACCCTTTTAGGGACACTGTAGAGGATACTAGGCTAGTACTTCATAGAAATTGACAAGTATATTTAAATCATATTAGTAAGACTCATTTAGTTTTAGTTGATCACATAGCTAAAGTTCCACATAATGTGGAGGCGAATCTTTATATCTATTGGGTTTTGGACGTACTTGGAGGTGATATTTGGTATGCTTTTTGCCTATAAAAGTCTGTTCATAGGTATGGACACAGACTATGGTTTACAGCAAATGCACAGAAAGGAAGAGTTTTAGAGAGAAGTTTTTTAGGGAGGAGAAAGAGTTGTTACTCTGCAAATTTTTCTCATCACGCGTATTATAACAGCCCCTGTAACAAGTGTACAGTTACTTATTTCCAAAACAATAATTAATTCTTTAAAGACCAATAGTTCTATAGTAGAAAGAATAAATCATACAATTGAAAACTACCATAGTTCTAAAGGACTTCGCTAATCACTTTGAAAAGTCAAACATGGTGGAAAGAATAAAACTAATCAAATAGAAGTCTACCATGATTATTAACAATTCATATCTGTAACAAAGCAGTAGTCACTATTCCATAATAGCAAAAATAATTAATATAACAAGAAATAACAATACTTGATTTTCACATATATGTCAAATCCATCATAAAACTTTGGGATCTCAAAAATACAACTAAAACCAGTTGTAAATGGGCTAGGACATTTGAAGCCTATCAAAACAACAACCACTACCGCCCATAATAATCACAACCATAATAAAAGTAATGTGTACTCAAGAGGGCTCTACCCAACAGCAAAACTCCAAAATCCAGCGAGAAATTCAAAATGTGTTAAGTGTAACAAAAAGGCCCTAAAGTTTGGTAATATACATCAATCAAAGCATTCATAACAAAACAGAGGTTATACAGAGCAGTAAGAGAAACTTAAGCCTCAGACAACTTCCCCTTGGGACCAACACCTAAACCCTCGCCTGAAAAATATTAAATAATCATAGGGTGAGTCAAATTGACCCAATAACCACAATTTCAATTCAACAAGTATACAAGAAGCGATTACAAGATAGTTAAGCAGGAAAAGTACAAATTCAAATAACATATAGTGTAAATATCTTGGGTGAAGGTGCAATTTTAACAACAAAGTTTTGCGTCAAGAACGTCTAGCACCATTTAGTTTTGAAGGGTGCAAAAGTAGACACAAACATTAAAATGTAGAGCAATTTTGTCACTGCCATTAATAAGTCCAAACGTCCGTCTCTTGTTTGTTGTGGGTCCCACTTATTTTTCATTTAGCATATGTTGCTCAAACCAACTTTAGACATGTGGCACCCTTTTTGACCTTTCTTTATATCTCTCCTCTCTCCTCTCTCCTCTTCATTTTTGGTTGCTAATACCATTTTTCTGCTCTGTCTCTCTCACACATACCCTCCACTTTCTCTCTCTATTTTTATTCTCTCATGCCCCCAGATTTTCTCTCTTTGCAACCCCTTTTTTTCTTCTTCATAAATGTCATGTGCATCAGTTCCTAATTCAAGGACCTCTACCACTCCACGTACTTTCTCACCATGTCTCCCTTTGTTTCTTTTCTTTTCTTTTTTTCCCTTAGGCTGATTGTGTTTTCTTCCATTTGAAAAACCTTCATTTCTCTATCGATCTTTCTTGCTGATTGATCCAACAAAGGAAAGTAATAGGTAAGATGAAGAACTTCTTAACCATGAGGAGTGATTTCTGAGATAAAGCCCTCCAATTGATTAACTTTGGTTTCCAGGATCT